AGTATGGAGGAAGAATGGAGAGGCACACACTGCAAGATGCTTGAAATCCAGTGTGAAGTTTCCACAGTCTGTGTTGATTTAGGGAGCCATGTCATCTGCTGGTGTTGGTCCACTATGCTTCATTAAGTCCAGGGTCAATGCAGCCGTCTACCAGGAGATTTTGGAGCTCTTCATGCTTCCTTCCACAGACGAGCTTTATGGGGATGCTGACTTCATTTTCCAGCAGGACTTGGCACCTGCCCACATGCCAAAAGCACCAAAACCTGGTTCAATGACCGTGGGATTACTGTGCTTGATTGGCCAGCAAACTCTCCTGACCTGAACCCCATAGAGAATCTATGGGGCATTGCCAAGAGAAAGATGAGAGACATGAAACAATGCAGAAGAGCTGAAGGCCGCTATTGAAGCATCCTGGTCTTCCATAACACCTCAGCAGTGCCACAGGCTGATAGCTTCCATGCCACGCCGCATTGAGGCAGTAATTGCTGCAAAAGAGGCCCAAACCAAGTACTGAGTACATATGCATGCTTATACTTTTGTACAATCCTTGTTTTATTGATTGCATGTAATATTCTAATTTTCTGAGATTGTGATTTGGGGTTTTCATGAGCTGTAAGCGATAATCATCACAATTATGACAAATCACGGCTTGAACTATCTTGCTTTGCATGTAATGAGTCTATCTCATATACTAGTTTCACCTTTTAAGTTGCATTACTGAAATAAATTAACTTTTGCACAATATTCTAATTTTTCGAGTTTCACCTGTATATTGGGCTGTGGGAGGTGAGAAGCTACTTGATGCCATTGACATCACTGAAGCAGGATATCACTGACGCAGGTCTTCTACATGATCAGAGCGCCTGTCTGTCAATCAGCGGCATTCACTGCAGAAGACTGGATGAAGCCCTGCTGCCTGTAATTCATATGGGAGGGTGACAACACCAGCAGCATTGTGAGCTGGTGGGATAGGGGATAGTGTTGTCACATTATTGTGGGAAGGGCTTGGAAGGAGCAAAAGCTGGCAGCGTCAACAGATATTTAGTAAGCATTCACATTTTAAAAAAAAACCTTGCACAGCTATTCACACAATGTTAGTATCTGGGTTGCATACACTTTAAATAACAATTGTATTTTTGCTAGTTGGACTTTATCAGGCCTTCTGCGTTCTGGACATTTGCCTCTGAACATATAAGGCCGTAACATCGGGGCAGGGGCGGACTGACCATTTGGAAACTCGGGCACTGCCCGAGGGCCTGGGGTCAGTAGGGGGCCCCATGAGATACCCCTGGTACCTTTTTCATAGACTTTTTTTGAGTTTGGGCAAGGACACAGGGGCCCCATGGTCCCCTATTGCCCGGGGGCCCCATGATTGCCAGTCCGCCCCTGCATCGGGGTATCACTTGGTACAGCGTTCAGCCTCATCCAGCCACAGCCTGCCATAGACTTTGACAGGCTGCAAACAGCAGGGTTGGACATTGTACCTGTCCCTCCCAGGAAAACTAAAACACAGCAAGACATCCCCATGTGCAAAAGGCCAAACCAGTTTTAATGCCTCCCAGACTTTTTCCTGCAGTTAGATATTCCTGTATTACATGCCCATTCACACAAGAAACCATGCATATTTAATGCATTTCCACATGATCCTTTACATGCATTTGACATGCATTTATATATGTTTGCAATGTGTTATTTCAAGTGTTTTTGGCATGGGAAAGGACAGGTCATCAAAGGAGTCAGTTTTTTTTTTTTTGTTCAGTTTATGTACAATGTTTTTATGTGTTTATGCATGTTTGCGGCTTGCTGTACATTTTTTCTCTGCACTGCACTGGTGTGAACTATGCCTATTACCCAACATTGATTTTGAATGGTCTATACCAGGGGTCTCCAAACTTTCTAAGCAAAGGGCCAGTTTACTGTCCTACAGACGTTAGGGGGGCCGGACCAGAAAATATCCCGGCATCAGTGGGAGACAGCAATACCCCATTTCTGGTGTTAGTGAAGGGAATTGTGCCCCATTGATGGTCTCATTGGGAGAAATTGTGCCCCATCATTGTTGTCATTGAGCCCAATTCTTGGTATCATTGGGATGAACTGTGCCCAATCGTTGGTGTCATTGGTGGAAATTGTGGCACATCGTTGGTATCATTGGGGGGAATTTGTTGGTGTCAGTGGATTAAATAGTACCCCAAGGGCTAGATAAAAGCAAGCAAAGGGCTGCATCTGGCCCCCGGGGCCGCAGTTTGGATAGGGACCGCTGGTCTACACAGTGGAAATGCATTAAAACAAAACATCCCACTACATTTGGTGTGAATGGGCCCTTAAATGCACAGTGTGAATGGCACCAATAAGAAATCATTACATGCATTTTTATGTAGTTAGAAATGTCCTCTAAACACAATTAATGCAAGTTTGACGCTTGCAGTGTGAATGATGCCTCAATTTACTGTAGGCTGTCTAGGTGCAGTGTCCAGCCCAGCTGCAGGCAGTCTTGACAGGACTGAATGCTGTACTGAGCAGTACCATTGTTTAGGGCTTTATGGGCTCAGGGACAAATGCCCAGAATGCAGAAAACCTGTGTTCAGTGCAGACGTCCCTGAATTCACAAGACCCTAACCATGCAGGGCTGGACACTGCACCCGTCGCGCCATGGATGCACTGCACCTAGACAGCCCAGTGTGAGGGGCCTTAGTACTGACATAGTCTGTATTCTCTTCACTGAACACAATACCATTTACATCAATCCCTACCATCAAAGAAGCAATCCACGCGTACATGCTTAGATCCATTTTACTGAACATGCTTTGTGGAATTCCCCTTTAAGCAGACTATATTTGTACACAAGATTTACACAAGAAATGTATTTTTCTCATCATTTATACAGTCATGGCCAAAAATATTGGACCCCCTGCATTTCTGTCAGATAATGCACCACTTCGCCCACAAAAATTGTTGCAATTACAAATGTTTCAGTATTCTTATGTTTACTTCTTTTGTTTGTATTGGTATGACACAAAAAAGCGGAGAAACAAAAAGCCAAATCTGACACATTCCACCCAAAACTCCAAAAAAGGACTGGACAAAATGATTGGCACCCTCAATTTAATATTGGTAGCACACCCCTTGGAAAATATAACTGAAATCAACCGCTTCCGGTAATCATCAATGAGTTTTCTTACACCTCTTTACTGGAATTTTGGACCACTCTTCTTTCTCCAGCTGCTCCAGGGCTCTCAGATTGGAAGGGTTCCTTTTCCCAACTGCTGTTCTGAGATCTCTCCACAGGTGCTCTATGTGATTTAGATCTGGACTCATTGCTTGCCAATTCAGTACTCTACAGTGCTTTGTCTGAAACCATTTCTGGGTGTTTTTTGATGTGTGCTTTGAGTTATTGTGCTACTGTAAGACCCATGACCATGACAGAGACCCAACTTTCTGACACTGGGCCCTACACTGCACCCCAGAATTCTTTGGTAGTCTTTAGATTTCATAATTCCAAGACATCCAGTGCCTGAAGCAGCAAAGCAAACCAAAAACATCAGTGAACCTCTACCATGGTTGACTGTAGGGACTGTAATCTTTTTTTTTAAAGGCCTCATTTCTTTTTCTGAAAACAATAGAATGATGGGCTTTACCAAAAAGCTGTAATTTTGTTTCGTCTGTCCACCCAACATTCTCCCAAAAGGATTTTGGCTTCCTCAGGTAAGTTTTGGCAAACTCCAATCTAGCTTTTTTTATATTTCCATATAGTGTCCCTTTTCATTCAGATGGTGTGAACTGACATACTTGTGCCCTGTGCCTGAAGGTCAGCTTGACTTTGTCTGGAAGTTGATTGAGGTTCTTTATCCATCATTCGAACAATCCTCTTGTTGCAATCTTTGATCAATTTTTCTCTTTCGGCCACATCCAGGGAGATTAGCTACAGTGCCATGGGCTGTAAACCTCTTGACAATGTTGTGCACAATGGACACAGGAGCATTAGGATCTCTGGAGATGGACTTGTAACCTTGATATCGTACATGCTTTTCCACAATTTTTGTTCTCAAATCCTTCAGACAATTCTTTTCTCCATGCTCCATGTGGCAAACAGAGACACACAACAGAAAGGTTGAGTCATTTTTTTCACCATTTTCAGTGATTGTCAGTGCGATTTTCTATATTGTCAGCACCTGTTAATTGATACAGGTGAGTTTAATCACAAATTACAGGAGCATCAAAAACATGGAATGCAACTATTTCCTACAATTTTAAGAAGGTGCAAATAATTTTGTCCAGTCCATTTTTGGAGTTTTGGGTGGAATGTGTCAGATTTGGCTTTTTGTTTCTCCACTTTTTGTGTCATATCAATACAAACAAAAGAAACAAACATAAGAATGCCTAAACATGTGTAATTGCAACAATCTTCTGGGCGAAGTGGTTCATTATCTGATAGAAATGCAGGGGTGTCAATATTTTTGGCCATGACTGTAGAAACATTTGCACATATTTACAAATGTAACAGTAAAAAATATTTGAAAATAAGATTCACAAATAGTATAGGTGCAAATAGCACTGAAAAGATGTAAAAAAAAAATCAGATTAAAATAGATTAAACTAAGCTGTACAAAAACAAGAAAAAGTAGACAAATATAGCACATTATATAATTTCACAGGTTGTATCCAAGGAAAGTGTCAGCTATAAATCTCCTTCAAATAGAATGGAATAAGGACAAATTCACTCATTCATGAGTTTTTTGTACAAACTTTCCCAGTTTAAAGTGTACCTGTTTAATAGGCAGTTAATACAACAACCACCTATAAATAGACACATTTTGGGTCCTATTTATAATGGAACTGCTCTCCACCATATACCTCAACATTGGTCTGGCATTTTACCGCTGTGTGGAGCCAACACTGGGTTCTGTTCTTAAAGTGGTGTTCTATCTGCACTGCATTCAAATGTAAAAGCCTGCATTTGACAGAAAAGCCTGTCCTTAAAGTTCCATTGGAAATGCGTTGGCATCAGGGGCGGACTGACCATTTGGAAACTCGGGCACTGCCCGAGGGCCCGGGGTCAGAAGGGGGCCCCATGAGATGCCCCTGGTACCTTTTTCATAGGCTTTTTTGAGTTTGGGCAAGGACACAGGGGCCCCATGATCCCTTATTGCCCGGGGGCCCCATGAGTTGTTAGTCCGCCCCTGGTTGGCATTGCAAACAAAGCAGATCAAATGCAGCCTTTTGCAATCAAACACATGCATTGGTACTGCAGGCAAATGTAAAAGCCTGCATTTGACAGAAAAGCCTGTCCTAAAAGTGGAACTAAACACTCCTCTTCCTTTCAGCCAAGGAAGCTGTGATTTTAGCCTCTGATCTCCATTGGCCATAGTGCTGCTGCACCTGTGATCAGTTATTACACCAGCCATTTGATGGTGTGACAGTTCAGTTGAGAGCACAAGAAACTGGGATAGTTATCAGTTATGACATGCCTTTAATATAAATGTTTTGAAAAAAAAAATTGATGGGCTTAGTTCCACTTTAATGTGTGTTTTTTCTTTAAAGCAGCAGTACAAGTCCTCCTAATTACCAGAAATAGCTGGTCGTGTGTCCTGTCAAATAGCTGGTCGTGTGTCCTGTCAGTATGAGACTATAGCAAAATTTATGTCTTCTGGGACTCCTTATGGCCAGAAATTTGTCTTGGGGAATATGGATGTGAGAGGGGTATATCGCATGCCCTTGTTGCAGGAACATGCATTCTGTCCCCACCTGGGGGAACAGTCTTTTGGACATTACAATCTGCAAAAAAGAGATAATAATATATGTGAATTTTACGGTATCCCTTCAATAATTCAGTACAATAAGGCTAGAAATAGCATAAAGATACACTTTTCCCCAAAAAGTGTAAAAACTGTGAATACAAAAATATGCTAATACCAATATTCCCAAAAGTATATATCACACAAATATATTAAAAAAAAAAAAAAAATTCAAAATGTAACAGTCCAAAAATAGATAAGAAATAAAATTAAATAAATAATGTTATAAAAAGTCACTCTGTGCCAACTTCAATCATCAGTCTTCATATTCAGCCTTTCAATGGCTCAAAGAAACATCATGATTCCTCTTTAAAATAGCCTTTATCAGAATATCCAAACCTCTCAGAGTTCCCTGGTTCCTCCACATGGACTTCTAAGAGGTTTTACCAGATTCAAAAATGGCTGCCGGATCACTTTCAGTTCCTCTATACGTCTGACATCACTTCCCTTGACATGTTTCGTCACCTGACTTAATCATAAGAGATCTTATGATAAAACCTCATAGAAGTCCATGTGGAGGAACCAGGGAACTCTGAGAGGTTTGGATATTCTGATAAAGGCTATTTTAAAGAGGAATCATGATGTTTCTTTGAGCCATTGAAAGGCTGAATATGAAGACTGATGATTGAAGTTGGCACAGAGTGACTTTTTATAACATTATTTATTTAATTTGATTTCTTATCTATTTTTGGACTGTTACATTTTGATTTTTTTTTCTTTTAATATATTTGTGTGATATATACTTTTGGGAATATTGGTATTAGCATATTTATATTCACAAAACAGAGATAATGCCCTTCAGAAAAAAAAAGGGACACTTGGCAGCTATGTTATACCCATCATCCCCCAACCATCTTTCTCTGTAGCACTCCACAGTCTCATTAAGGTCTTGCTGTTGGAACAGTGTTCTGCTAACAAAAGGGTTGACTGTATTCTCACAGTTGGACCACACGTCAGATACCTATAGAAGGGCTGAATTTCTAAATAAAGCATGCTTATCCTTTAACGGACATTGATTGTTAAATATGACTTTTTGACATCTATAGTGAACAAAAGCAAAACAGGGCGCACTCTTTTCGTGCATTATGGTGGTGAAACACAAATTTATTTAAAAGCATAAAAATGCATACTCACAAACCAAAGGGGGATAAAAACAGAGGAGTCTGTAATGACAATGCAAAGTGACGGTAGACCCTTGGTGTGGTAGGCTAACGCGTTTTGGGAGACATACTCCCTTCTTCAGAGCATAGTATATAGTACATTTACATTCAGGACTCACTATATGCTTTGTTTGTTTGGTTTTTTTTTTCTCTTTAAGAATTTGGACCCATATTAGCTTTTTCCAGCCAATTAGTTTGTGTTGTAGTAACATGGAGAGGACAGTACTATTCAGATTGGAGGCTCAGTTGTGGCTCATACCAGCTTCTGACATTTTCCAATAATAAACCGATATTCAGTGCACCAACAGGTCGCCCCAGACCATGCTTGTACGTGAAATATATACTTCATAAATCCTGGTTAGACCACAGCATGTAGAATTTGTTTATATGGCTCAGTACAGAAGCTTTCATCAATCAAGGTGGACTTAGGCCTCTTTCACGCATTCGCTGAGACCCATAGTCTATGAATGGTCCATGTATATGTAACAATTCCTCCTTAGGAGTCTCTGAGTTTTTGGGTCCCCTATAATCCTGCACAGCCAGGCAATACTCATTTTCCTCAGACCTTGCACACAGGAGACAGTAACCAGTCTTTAAGCTTGTTTTTTTTGTGATTTTATTAAGGGGTAATAAACTTGATCAGAGACATGCACACCAGCGGCCTGCTGGAGGTCATTTTGTGCATAGACGTCCCCCCCCCCCCCCCACCAAAAAAAATAAATAAATTAACATTTTCTTGAAAGAAAACAGTAGATAATATTAAATCAACAAAATATGAAACTACTAAATTTCTTTTAATGTGCAAAAACAAGTGGCATAAGATGCCACCAGCACTAATATTCAAGACAAAATCAGTGTCACGGACAGCTGTATCTGTGGCTGGCAGTGGCAGGGTGACAGTTGCCGTGAGTGGAGGGTAATGGATCCACACTCTGACAGATCCCAGGCAATTGGGGGAGATAAAATGCTGTGACAGCATGCAACTGAACTGATCGATCCCACACAGTGACAGATCCAACACAACACACCAACACCGACACAGATCAGCAGGCCCAGCAGACACTAGAAGAGCAGGCTGTGGAATTGTGATGATTTCATCACTCACTGACACATTGCACATGTAATGGATGTCCGGCCGGCCAGGTCACACTCACACAGGCAGGAGACATCAGAGTCAGACATTACCTTCCTCCGCAGGTGCAGCTCCGCCTCCACTGATGAATGGGAAGAGAAGGACTGGAACTCCACAGGCTTGCAGTAAGGGACAGAGTCTGAGAGAAACACTGGAAAGAGTGCCAGCTCATCTGCTACACTGGTCCCAGACACCCATCATCTTCCTCTGTCCTTTCTTCCTCCCCTTTGCCGCCCCTCCTCTCAGCTTAAGGATCATTCATGATGTAGTGGCATCCCACACAGAGTGCCAGCTTGTGCTGCGCCCAGCCACCCCTAGGTGGCAGTGCGCACCTAGTTTGCCTAGTGGAAGCATCAGCCCTGCATAAACGCCATAGTGTCATTGTTAAAAATATATATTATTATTATTATTATACAGTATTTATAAAGCGCCAATAGTTCGCTCAGCGCTGTACATTACAATGGGGGACAGAACATGTGACAGAACAACAACAATACAATACAAAACATGAGGAGATCGAGGGCCCTGCTCTTTCGAGCTTACAATCTAGGTATATATATATTTATTCTGTGATTTGTCCTGCTTATAATGATACTAAAGTTGTGATTTTCACTACATTAGATTCTGGTACAAAGTAATTTGCTAAAGAAAAATAAAAAATTTTTTTTTACAATTTTGTACTTTTTTAAGGGACAATAAAAAAAATACTGAATACAATGAAATAAAAGAGTTTAAATATTAATGATTAAAAAAAATGGAAATAAAAAAAAAAAATTAGCAGAACAAGGACAGGACAGCTAATTAAAAAAAAGCTTGCTGTTAACATATGGAGCACAAAGGTCACCCCTATAAATTTGTTGATAAATAAATAGCATGCAACAATAATATTGTTTAAAGGCATTCCTTAATAAGGAGACTTCACAACAATGTTCCCTACACTGCCTATTTTTACACAGCAGTAGCTGCCGCCATATGATATGGAGCAAGTACTTGCTGTCACTTTGACAGCCAGGATTTACCAGCAAGAATAATGGGGGAAGAGGAACAGAGTGGGCCACAAAAGAAGGTGCCAGGGGCTACTAGTTGGACAGCACTGATACATAATAAAAAAAAACAAGGTATGAGTTACAGTTATTATCCCTTGAAAAGTGGAGTGGGCATTACATTACAGACAAGGCCAAACCACAGAATTAATTAACTGAAAAAATAATCAAACATATCAGTACATGTACATGCTGCAGAGGTGAAAAAAAGTCTCTTTCACAATAGTTGTTCTTGAAAGAAAATAATATTATAAGTTTGAACAAATTCCAACAGTCAGATAGCCAAGACACCTAAAATGTTCCCTGGTGCTTTCTTAAAGTGTTCCTACATTGGACCAATCTCTCCACATTTGCACCTACAAGTTCCAGAAAAAACAAGAGACTTGTTCTTAAAGGATAAGTTTTGGGAAAAAAAATAATAAATGCACATATTTTTGCAGGAAATAAAAGTGCATTTATAATTTTTTCTATAAGCATTGCACCCAGGGGCGGACTGACAACTCATGGGGCCCCCGGGCAATAGGGGATCATGGGGCCCCTGTGTCCTTGCCAAACTCAAAAAAGCCTATGAAAAAGGTACCAGGGGCATCTCATGGGGCCCCCTACTGACCCAGGGCCCTCGGGCAGTGCACGAGTTTCCAAATGGTCAGTCCGTCCCTGATTGCACCCATGATTAGTAGATGAGGGGTGCAATGCAAAACTCCTGCAGACAATTCCTGCAGCTTTCACCTCATACCTTCATATGTGCTGGCTGTTTACAAACTGCAGGGCTTGTGAATGAACTACAAGGCAGCTCATCAGCAACTTGGCAGTCCAATCAGGACTACAAGCTGTCAGCTGCAAAGACTGACTCTACTTGTAGTTCAAGTAATTGTAAACTGTGAATGAAGGAGAGGCTGTGTGGGCGGAGCCCCTCATGGCCACGTTTTTTTCCAATAGTGACAGAGGGAGAACGATCGCTGCTTGCTGTCACTTTGGCAGGGGAGAGGCTGAAGCTGCTGGAACACGTTCCACATTCCACCCTAAATATAGGTGGAACATGTTACATGTTCCAAAAGCTGAACTTATCCTTTAAGACAATTTTTTTAAAAAATCAGACGTTAAAATAATTACGTTTAGGCAGATAAAATACACTATTTTTATTAGTGTTTGTCATTTCTTCCCAGCTTCACTAAGAATCCAGTGGATGCCTTCCAACAGTCTAGATGGAGAAGCTTCTGTATTCTGCACCTATATATTAAAATAATGATGTTGAGTAATCAACCACCATGCTCTAATTTCACCTTCTCTGTGTTTAATCAATGTACTCAACAGGCCCAGTTACATAATATTCCATTCATAACAATTTGGCCTAGAGTTGATCAATTAAGTATTTTTATCATCAGTCTGAAGAGCACAAATACATACTGTAGATGGTAGAACATGAGGTGAATGCGTCTCATGGACTCATTTTACAGTAGGCAGATTCACTAAAAAAGCTTTTTAGCACATGGATGGTAGTATATGAGATGAATAGATCTTACGGCCCCATTTTACAATAGATGGATTCACGAAAAAAGCTATTTTTGGGGAAAAAGTTGGCACAGAGCAAGAAACCTTTGCCAGCCCGGCTTGGATTTGCTCAGAAGTCTGGGTGCCACCCTATTCTTACCAAAAGGCAGGGGGGTTTTGCAGGAGCCCAGTTTTTGCCTTTTTACCTCCCTACTGATGTGAGACCCCCACTTCTTTTCCTCTTCTCTCCTTATTCTCTTTGCTATCCCCTCCTCCTCTCCCTCTCTCCTTTAATTTCCTCCATTCCTAGCTCCCCTTTATCCTCTCTCCCTCCTCTTCTATCCCACCCTCCCCCCCCCCCCCCCCCCCCCCCCCCCCCCCCCCCCCCCCCCCCACACACACACCTTTTTTTTCTTCCCTTCCTTACCCCTTTGTTAGGCCAGAGAGTGTGGACCCAATGCCCAACACAGAGCGATTCGCTTGTCGATAGTCTTGCTGATAATCTGTGGCTCCAATAATGGTTGTGTGCTCTGTCATTTCTCAGTACTTTAAGGGTGTGAATCATCCTGGTACCTAGGGCCATGTATAAGGGGGGTACCACCAGTCCTCATGTATAGGGCCCAGGCTACCAGGGGGGCCCAAGCAGCTGGGTGAATTGGATGTAGGCAAGGAGGGTGATTGGTATGGTGGGAGGGGGTAATTACTGGATCCCCTGTATGACTCTCTCTGCAGCAGCTGAAAGTTGACTTCTTCTCTCCCTCTTGCTGGCCTTCAGCTGCTGCAGAGAGCCATACAGGGGATCGGTTCCAGTACTTACCCCCCCCCCCCCCTGCTGCCCAGGCTCCCTTTTGTGCGCTCACCCCAACAGTGCTGCCAGCTTCCCTCCTCTCCCTTCAGCAGTGGCAAGCACACAATAAGATCTTTCTGGATGGAGAGTGGGGAAGGGGTCCAGTAAATACATCACATTTACCAGCCCCTTCCTTTCATGAATGAACACAGTGAGTGATTGGTACCAATCAATAACTATGTGCATTCATAACTAAAGCATAGTAAACTATGTTTTTTTTTAGGGGGGGGGGGGGGGGGGCCTGCAAGGTTGACTGTATGGGGCACCGTAGTTTCTAACAGTAGCCCTGCTGGTACCTGTTTGTTTCTTCTTGCCCACACTGTTCAGGATTGGTTGTCCCTGGGTGTACCTGAGAGTCAAAAACAAAACTGCGAGTTTTGTGCAAAACTTTGGTTCAAAGAAATTGTGCATTCAGAAAATTGTTAACCTGTCAGGATATTTTTGGAGTGTAAGAAACTGGAACAAAGCAAAAAAAAAATGTTGATATCATCCCTGGTGGGACCTGACCTTAAGGCTTGGTTTACATATATGCATTTTGTGTTTGATGCTTTCTCCAGTGCTTTTTTCATTTTCTTTTGCGTTTTGTTTACATTAGTTTTTGATGCGTTTTATTCAGCTCTCTTTTTTTTTTGGTTAAAGTCAAATTTTTTTGTTGCTGGGCAGAATAAAAATGCAAACTGCAAAACGTGGCAAAAAACACACTACAATGCTTTCTCCTTGGAACTCTATTGTAGCAAAAACGCTGCTTTTTGCTTTTAAAAAAGTCCATAACCCTTTCCAAACATGTAGCACTTCAAAAAAGCATAGATGTGAACATGTTTCATAGGAAACCATATTAAATAGACTGTAGTGCGTTTCTGAAAAAAGCACTAAAAACCGCATTGGTGTGAGCGGAGCCTAAGAGCTTATTCCTGAAAACTATAGCACTAATCACTATGGGAGCATATAAACAGTTGGATCTCTGCAAGCAATGTAATCTATGAAGGTCAGTTGTTGGTCATTACCATCACTATACTTTTCCTACTTTGGAGGATTCAGAGAAAATATTGCTGGAAGTCCAACCAATAAGGCAATAAGCTTGATGCAGGATCTTCACCACATGTTCATTTTAGTGAGAAATCTACCACCGTCTAGGGTTGGCCATACAGGGATCATTTTATCAAATGACGAGCTGGTCGAACAAAAATCTATGGATTCCCCCATCCACACAAGCAAGGTGGATAGAGGAATCCTCTCTGCTGTGCCATTGTATTTGGACAGTGAGGACTTCTCCATTGTCAGAATACACTGATTAGCACTGCAGCCAATTGGGTACAGGCACTGATCAAATGAAAGTTTTCTAATGATCCTGTTTAAGAGAAGTTGATCATTAGATCGACTTCTTTCAAGCGGGAATGGCCATACAAAGGTGAAAATTCGGCCTGCTGAACTGTCCAAATTTGGATCCATTTATGGCCAGCTTAATGCAAGCCTAAATCTAGCAACACATTATGGGGTGTCTTTGGCTATTAGAAACATCCTAGTACCGACAATTTACAAGCTTCCCAAATGTGAGTTGAGAAGGAAGAGTAGAGTGAATGTTTGTGGTCATACATCCTCTGCATCACAAAGAGTTAAAGAAATGGAATTTCTAAGCCACCAACCACCAAAGAACGCGGGGTGAACTGGTTAACTACAGCAAGACGGATATGCTTCCTTTATGCATCTTTAGGCTTCATTAAGAATTTCGACTGTAATATACCACCAAACCACCAAACAAACTTTGTTATAGCATGAAAGTAGCGCAGCCCCTTTGTAACTTTGAAATATGATTTAAATTTGTTTTGTCAAAAGGCAACCAAACATCCTCAATGCACTAGAAATCTAAATGAGAGGTTCTGATTAGCTGCTATGTGCAGCACAAACAGTTCTTTTTCATATACTTTCTTACAATAAAATAAATGTCCCACTGATTCTTATTATATACGTTGCTATAAACCTCATTTCTTTTTGTCATTAGGGGAAAAAACAGCAGATTGTGTTTCTCAGCAATAGGAGTCATGTGACTGGTAACCACACATTTGGCTCAGACATGTGACATCTCCTTCTGATTTCCCAAATGAAGCCTGAAGTATGGAGAAACCCTGACGTATTTCCTGTACTGGCAGTATGTCTTGAATATCAGCAGCCAAGGATATTAATGCTCCAGCCTTCTACAGAAGTAACCTCTATGCTGCTCTTTTGCTAATTCGCAAATGTTAAAGGTGCAGTCCAGTGAAAGAACCAGAAACATTACATCATAAGGGTTAGACCACCCAAATGGGACATTTTCATTACAGGTGGAGTCTGATGGACTCTTTTGCATTCTCTCTCTTTCTCTCTCCCTGTCTGTCCCATTTGGTTTTTCATAGTGTTTGGATTCCTCCTGTTGCATTTGTAATATAAGGCAAGTGACTCTAAAATGAAACATGGTAAGCGAGACATTTTGTAATTGAAAGAAGATTCAAGAGATCTCACCAGCATAGTTCGTGAGGCATAAGACATGGAGGCTGATTTACTAAAACTGGAGAATGCCAAATCTGGTGAAGCTCTGCATAGAAACCAATCAGCTTCCAGTTTTTTTTGTCAAAGCTTAATTGAACAAGCTGAAGTTAGAAGCTGATTAGGTACCATGTACAGCTGCACCAGATTTTGCACTCTTCTGTTTTAGTAAATCAACCCTATGGAATCCACAATGTTTTTTTTCTTTATTAACGTCCCTAGCTGTCTGATTATGTCCATATTTCTGTGCTCAAAGCAAAAATTTTTTTGCATGGAAATATGTCGTTTTTTTTATTGTAGGCCTGCAATTTTTAGGAATAACTCACTGAAATCTGTCCGAGTAAGAGTCTAGTAAACATGTTTAAATTTAATTCAATAATATAATCAAACCAAAAACACTGAAATTTGAAATAGAGCGCCAGGTTCGCACGTCACTGAGCAAAGTCCCAAAATCATTTTTCAGCGCCTGGTGACGAATTTCCCGACGAATCATTATCACTCAATTCTGCAAGTGGTTCTGATTTACTATCGCTGTTCTCTAGCTGGACTAAAACCGCTTTTGACCTAAAGGGACGCTTTTTGGGCGCCATGGACATTTCTCATTTTCCAGGCAGAAAGAACAGTAAAAATGCAGGCAGGGCGCCGGACAAAGCACTCGGGACAAAATGTATGTGAAATGGTTTGATACAGTAATGTAATACTATCAGATTTTAGTGTATTGAGTGAATATCAAATTTTTACTTTTTGAAATTCCCGCTGGTTCCGCCCCCGTACATACTGACGCTCGCAGGGAATGGAACCCGGAAGACATATGCCGGCATCGGCCGGAGGACATGGCCAGGGACGCTGCAGGGGGGACATTGTGGGACCGCAGGACAAGGTAAGTGCTCAAGGGATCGCTGGAGAAGCGCTGCAGGGTAATCCTGAGTGTAGCTCGGGGGTTACCGCTTCTGGTACTAAAAGTTAACCCCGAGCTACACTCGGGAATACCGCCAGGGGGGTTAAGCTTTGACAATAAAACCTGGAAGCTGATTCGTTTCTATGCAGAGCTGCAGCAGATTTTGCACCATGCAATATTAGTAAATAACCCCCTTTGAGTTTATTCAAACTAACCATTACAAGGCAGCAGCTGGCTTGCAGTGCAATGCAGTGGGATCAATGCAGTGCCAAAGCACACTTCGTACTGTTCACTTTTTTTAAACCAACATTATTGAAATGTCACACAGTAACATTTATTTAAGTTGTATTGGCCACTGCATCGTGCAAGGCAGTAGATTTAAAGGAATACTACCTATGTTTGTGAACACCAAGGATAGCGCTTTACAGGCATGGTTTTACATTATTATTATTTGTATGAGGATATTGATGTTGGCAGCTTTCCGTTTATATTTCATTTAATGCTGAGTTGCGATTTAGAACACATTTTCACACATTGTGAGTAGGTTTTTTTGTTTATTAGCACAGAGATTTTTGTTTCTTACAGAGGCAGTAGATTGCCTTGCACTGCACTGTGTTTTTTCAGCGCACACCACTGCAACCTGGTGGTATGAACTGGGCACATAGGGGACAGTGCATTTTGCCTGGTCTTGCAATGGGACTACACCAAAATAATCACCCAACACAGCCCCCCCCCCATGCCTGATGTGAACAGACCCTTAGAGCATTCATTTGTAAGCTTGCAAACATAAAACTGTCCAAAAACAAAATACAGTTATTTGACAAAACCCAGCATTTCTTAAAAAAAATTATAAACTTCCCCCAAAAAGTATTCATTTTGGTTGATTTGGGCCTTAAAATGACTCAGGGAAACTAATCTTGTTGAATGGTTCAAATGTTCATCCTGGTATTAATTTTGTATCATTTGTCGGCCCCTAGCTGTACCTAATGGCTTTCGGAATCCTTATGTAACTGTGAATTTGCGGCAGAGAAACCATAGGTCACGTGTGACCTTCTCTGAGCTCAATGGGCCTCACCCACAAACAATGAAGCATGGGAGGGAAAATGCCTAATGGAACTGGATGTAAGGCATTATACAAAACTCCCTCTTTTATAGGTTGGGGATTAATTTCCCTTATTGCCTGGAATACCCGTTAAAAGGGAAATAATATTGGCTTTGGGTCAACCTTATTTTAATTATTTTAAACGGTTTTATATGGTTTTGGTGTATACAATCCTTGTTTTTATATATAAATATACTGTATGACAAAGCATTAAAAAAAAAGAATATGGGTTTGTTAGAGACAGCACAGCAGAATCAGCTTCCTTTCATACACGGCTGTGTCTCACTGAATCTTTGTACTGGGCCCTTGGATAAGGAAAGGGTAATAGCTCTGACGGGTTCAGTTCAGGTATGTAAATTCACCTTGATCTATCACTAACTGCAAACTGGTAGGTGAAGAAAGCAATGAAAGCAGCACTGTAGCCAGGGCTGGTGCTTCCATTAGGCAAACTAGGCAACCGCCTAGGGTATACTGCCACTTAGGGGCGCCTGGGCACAGCACAGGCCTGCACTCTCTCTGTGTGGCCGATGGACTTCCGGTATGAATTCTTCATTTCTTTGCAGCGTCCCCCTCTCCTTATACACAAGGAATGATGAGGGAATTATGGTATCTTTACTCTGCACAATTGTCCCACAGCCTGTCCACACACATGATTTAGTACATATATATTTATATACGTTATACATACATGACAGTATTTCATGTAACAGTGAAGAGTTGGTTCCCTCTAGGGTGGGAAGTGATGACATTAGCCCAGGACCCTGGGTGGTCAGCAGTCTCTGATCTGAGGATCAGTCCATACATCTCCAGTACAAACACAGCAGCAGGACAGGATGGCAGGGCAAACCCCCACAATTCCTCAAATATATTATTAGCAAAAAGGTCTGGTCCATGCATGTAGGTCCTTTACAAAATAATCTAGAGTGGATAACTGGGGGCAAAGAGAAGGCAAATTTATAAAATACTTTCTTCAGCTCTGTGTATACAAAGGAGCATGGGGGGAGCTCTTGTCCATAATGGGCGTGGTATTGACACAGCTCCAGATGATCCACACTGGCTCACAATTGATATGATCCAAAAATATTTAGACAGTATAAAGGTGAATAAAGCACCTGGGACTGGATGGCATACACCCACGGGTCCTTAACCTCCTTGGCGGTATGATTCTTTCTGATTTTTTGAGCTGAAAGCGGTACCATTTTTTTGCATGGAAATATGTAGTTTTTTTTATTGTAGGCCTGTAATTTTTAGGAATAACTCACTGAAATCTGTCCGAACAAGAGTCTAGTAAACATCCCGGGTATGATAAAACTTGAAGCACGAAATCATAAATTATAATTTAATAAATAATCATAAAAAATAATATAATAATAATAATAAATTTAATTCAATAATATATTCAAACCAAAAGCACTGAAATTTGAAATACAGAGGAAAATTCGCACATCGCTGAGCAAAGTCGCAAAATCGTTTTCAGTGTCTGATGACGAATTTCCCCACGAATCATTATCACTCAATTCTGCAAGTGGTTCTGATTTACTATCGCTGTTCTAAAACCGCTTTTGACGTAATGGGACGCTTTTTGGACGCCATGGACTTTTCTAAGTTTCCAGGCAGAAAGAACAGTCAAAATGCAGGCAGGGCACAGGACAAAGCAGTAGGGACAAAATATATGTGAAATGCATTGAAACAGCAATGACAGCAAAAATGACATTTTTTAAAAATTTTAAATTTCCCACCGGTTCTGGCGCCCGTACGTCCCGACGTCACAGGGACTGGAACACGGAAGCCAGATGCCGGCATCGGCCGGAGGAGATGGCCGGGGATGCTGCAGGGGACACATCGCGGGAGCGAAGGACAAGGTAAGTGCTGCAGGGACCCCCTGAGCAACGCCGCATGGTAAGCCCGAGTGTAGCTCGGGTTACCGCTCTTGGTACTGAAATGTTACCCCGAGCTACACTCGGGAAAACCGCTAAGGAGGTTAAAGAATTGAGCTCTGTCATTTCAAATCCATTATTCCTAATTTTCAGGGACTCTTTAATGACTGGCATAGTACCACTGAGTTGGTGTAAGACCATTGTGGTGCCAATATTTAAAAAGGGGTCAAAATCTTTACCAAGTAATTATAGAACCGTTAGTTTAACTTCTATAGTTGGGAAGATACTGGAGAGTTTAATAAAAGACCACATAGATGAGTTCTTGCTGGGAAAAAATATTTTAAGCAACAGACAGCATGGATTCATGAAAGACAGAAGTTGTCAAACAAATATGATTTCTTTTTATGAGGGGGTGAGCAAAACCTTGGACAGAGGGGTTTCGGTGGACGTGGTATACTTGGATTTTGCAAAAGCGTTTTGACACAGTTCCACACACAGGGCTAACATGTAAGTTAAAGTCTACAGACTTGGAAAAATCCATATGTAAATGGATAGAAAACTGGCTAAATTCAGAGTAGTGGTTAATGATTAATTCTCTGAATGGTCTAGGGTTGTCAGTGGGGTACCCCATGGTTCAGTGTTGGAACCCTTACTTATTTATAAACTATATAGGGTCTGGGATTAAAAATCCAATTTCAGTCTTTGCAGATGACACCAAGCTGTGCAGTAGAATGATGTGTTTACAGGATGTCTCCAACTTCCAAGCCGATCTCACCAGCTCAGTGGATTGCTTTAAAAAGTCCTGTATTCTTTCCTAGACACACAGAATATAACTGGATGCTAACATTTATAGGTAAATTTGATCCAGGGAATATCCGATTGTCTCTCGGGGAATCAGGAAGGAATTTTTCCCACTACAGGAGCAAATTGGATCATGCTTTGCTGTGTTTTTTTTGCCTTCCTCTGGATCAACAGTGGGTGTAGGATTGTACCTTTTTTTTTTTTTTTTTTTTTTTTTAATTGTTGAACTGGATGGACTTTTGCTTTTTATGGGCTAGACTGTGTAAATATATAATGCTTACATGAGGTTTTATTGATTGGGTTTTCATATTCCTTAAAATATTTAGATGCTGGATAGTTCAATAAGCTCTGGGGCAACTTCCCTTGCAAAATGAACAGATTACTTGCCTTTAGTAAATCAACCCCAATCTGTCTTCTCTACAATATAATAAAATGTTCCTTCTTTTTTCACTTAGGTAAAGTCTCACTTTAATCCTGGAACTATGATTGCCCAACTTTCTAAACTAATGCATTTGTTGGAAATTGACAGAAGTCATAAATATTTTATCTTGTGCTAGAAACTGTTTTGAGCATTATACCTACCTAATATTTCCTTTAACTTAGGCTGAATGTTAGATTTGAGTCATCACATATTACTACGGCAATACTGAACCACCTGTCAATCCAGGGAAAATAGAGGAATTGTAAGTGATTCAAAAGATGCTCAAAAATCATGTCACAGGACTGCCTTCTAGTGGCAACCCATGGTACAACATACAGCAGATCTGATCCAGCACTAGCAATAGTCACTAATATTATAGACCAGTGGTCTACAAACTGTGGCCCTTTGGTTGCTTTTATCTGGCCCTCGTGCACTTTCATTTACTGTTACCATCAATGAGGCATAATCACTCCTTTCCTGACACCAATGAAGGGGAACAATTCCTCCCAATGACACCAACAATGAGGCCCAATGGCACTAATAATGAGGTATAATTCCTCCCAATGACACCAATGATAGGGCACAATTCCTCTCATTGACAACAATGGGGTGCTATTCCTTTCACTGATACCAATGATGGGGAGATATTCCTTCCACTGACACCAATAGCCACAGTAAAGCCCCCTTAAAGTCTGAAGGACAGTAAACTGACCCTTTGTTTAGACAGTTTGGAGACCCGTAATAGACAAACTCCACCCTACCTTTCAAAATGAAAATTTAAGTTCCTAACACTGGACCCTATCTACAAAAAAAAACCACATACTTACTAGTACATGGAGTCCAGCGTTGTCTAGCTTGCAGGCAAAATTATTCCTACTCCACTCTTCTCCCACTACACCATCTTCAGTCAACAGCCAGTAGATATACAGACACACAACCAGGCCTGCCAGGTCTATAAGACTTGACAGAAAGACCCACGACACATCTGTGCATATGCCGTATCTTCTGTTCATGTGCAGACTATGCTGGAGACCCCGCGGTGTGTCTGCACATGCGCAAGATCTCATGTACTGCCTCATAGGATGTCTAAGTCACACACCACAAAAGGCATTTTGAGGTCTGGATAGTGTAGGGAAGGGTTGAGACCCCTGACAAATTATTATCACTGTCTGGGCCCCCTTTCGAGAGATCTGCCCTCTCTCTTGGTCCTGGTGACCATTATCATGGAGACAAAAAGTGATAAGAAAGTCTAAATTTTCTGTTTCTCCAAAAACAAATGGTGCAAGAAATTCTTCAGATGGGGAGACCTTCTCTGGTGACAACTGTCTGATGGGAAATACCCTCTCACTTCCTGTTTCCTTACAGTACAGTAAATGAAGAGATATATGCCCAATGTGGCACCAACATCAGAACATTAACCATTCCCTACTTTGTCCAAAACTAAATTTAAATTTTGGATACACCACCTCCAACTGTAGGTTGTCTGGACTGGTGAAAAGCCTATGCAATAACATCCCATAACATATAAACCCTTGCGAATATGGAAGAGTTATTACTAATATGGGTCCTTTTGCACTGATATGGAATTGAATGGTAATAAATTGTTTTTCTAAAGTCAAAGGTTCCGTTGCTGACTGAGGAATGGAGAAGTGAGTGAACAGAAGAAAAATCGAAATTAAATCAATATTTGGTGTGACTACCCTGTGGCTTCATACCAGCATTAATTCATCAAGCTCTTTTGAAGCAAAAAAAGACCGTAGACGTAGTGGTCAGTCAAGGAAACTTAATGCAGCAGATCAAAGATGCATCATGCTTACTTCCTTTTGACATCATAAGATATCCAGCAGTGCCATCAGCACGGGACTGGTGGAACCCAGTAGGATCCAGGCACAAGCATGTACTGTCTGTCCAGAAGTGGTCTTCATTGAAGAATTATGGCCAAAAAGCATTACCTCTGACACGGAAACAAAGCTGAGGGACTCAACTGTGCATGCAAGCATAGGAACTGGGGTGCAGAAAAATGGCTGGAGATTGGTACAATAATAAATGTCTGCAGGCAACAGTGAAGCATGGTGGAGGCTCCTTGCAAGTTTGGGGCTGATTTCTGAAAATGGAGTTGGAGATTTGGTCAAGATGAATGGTGTCCTCAATGCTGAGAGATACAGGCAGATACTTATCCATCATGTCATAACATCAGGAAGGGGTGTGTTTGGCCCCAAATGTATTCTGCAACAGGACAACAACCCCAAACATGCAGCCAGTGTCATTAAGAACTATCTTCAGCGTAAAGAAGAACAAGGAGTCCTGGAAGTGATGGTTTGGCCCGCACAGAACCCTGATCTCAACATCAAGTCTGTCTGGGATTCCATGAATAGACAAAAGGATTTGAGGCAGCCTATGTTCACAGAAGGTCAGTGGTTAGTTCTCCAAGATGTTAGGGAAAAACCTACCTGCTGAGTGCCTTCAAAAGCTGTGTGCAAGTGTACCTAGAAAAGTTGATGCTGTTCTGTTCATTTACTTTCCATTTTGTTAATTGATAAAAAATAAACTACTTCTATTTCTAAAAGCTTTCTTCATTTAAAGATTTTTTTTCACACCTACCTAAAACTTTTGCACAGTACTGTATGTCTCAGGAACATTCATCTCAGGGAGCAGTTCTTTTGTGGGATTTCTGGAAAGATGGGTTCTAGTCACTTTAGTTGATATTTTTAGAGTTTTTAGTGCACCTTTAAAAGGAGTGGTCAATGGAGGGTGGAGTGAGTACAAAGTATGTGTAGATTCCACCCAATACACAGTCTTTGGTCTGCTTCATGTCTTTCTAATCTTTTGAATCCCTTTCTTTTAGGGTCATACTGGATTCTTATATTTTAAAGTGACTCCTTGACAACTGAGGCTCTGGTGGTATTTCAGTCCTAAAATAAAAGGAAGGACAGTGTGGAAAGGTTTCATTCCAGTTAGTCACTCATCACCTCCACATGGGGATAACCACAGTTTGGCTCCTCTAGCCAGTAACTTTAATGGGTTCTCCCAGGACGAGAGATCTTTGTGAATGAAAAAAAAAAACTAACACGTTCCTCCATCCACACAAACAAGGTGGATAGAAGAATCTCTCCTACTGGAACATTGTATTCACAGCAGGACCCACTGTTGTTAGAATACACTGAACAGTGGCTGCAGCTGCTGATCCGCTAAAGTTTGCCAGCATGCCCCTTCAACAAAGGTCAATCAAACATTCCAGCAGGGATGGCTAAACACTGATCAAAATTCATGCAGTCCCTTCTGATCTAGCCAAAATTTTAAATCAGTATATAGCCAACTTTAAAAAAGGACTTCACTGCTTCTGCTGTGAACTATGAGGATGAATTACTCTACTGTACCTGCAGCTAGAGATGGTCAGTAAGGGCTGAACCACATTGATTCTTATTGCTCACTAGAGACTGCTGAAGACCAAACCAATTTAAAAGATAAATTCTCTATAAAACAAAAGCGTACTTTTCCTTTTTGCCCCCTTCTCCTGAACTAACCCTAACCCTCCCCCTCAACTGATGCATACTTATCTCAAAATGGACAGCAGTAGTTCCTGCGCATTAGTGCCCCACAGACTTCTATGAGACTGTCTAACCATCTCTTGGGACACAGTCCCATAGAAATGTATAGGACACTAATGCACAAGGGTGGACAGGACAGGGGAGAATTGCACCGCTGGATGTAAAACAAAGGAACTGTTGATGTCACAATGAAGAAGAAAAGTGGGAAGCAGTACAGGAATGTACAGACATCGATAAAATAATTCTCAGAAGTTTTAACCCTTGATCACATTATTATAATGAGTTTTTGTTGTCTGTGATAGGAAAAGATGGGGAAACTTCCCTAATATGGACACAGTGGGCAATAAAAACCAAAAAGATTCTCCAAGCCTTTACCAATGTATCCAAAAAATAAATAATTAAAAAAAAAACTGGCTGCATCAGAAACTTATTTTTAAATGAGGACAGGGACTGATGTGAAAGTACAATATACAGGTGTACCTCGGTTTACGAATTTAATGCGTTCTCCGGGACGTTTCGTATTGCGAAAAATTCGTAAACCGAAACGCGGTTTCCCACAGCATGCACAGGTGTGGCGCTATAAACCTCTCAGGCGCAATGCATCCTAGGGAAACTTACTTTGTATTGCAAAAATTTTTTTTTCAAATTTGTAAACCGAGGCATTACCGTATTTTTCGCTCCATAAGACGCACTTTTTTCCCCCCAAAAAGGGGGGAAAATGTCAGTGCGTCTTATGGAGTGAATATGGAGCGGCCAGTCCGGTATTTCCACCACCGCCGTGTTAGAATACCGGGCCGGGCGCTCAGCTCTGCAGTGGGACCTTACCTGTTCCTCTATCCAGCGGCGCGCTGTCTTCCCGGCTTCTGTATTGTGCGTGACAGCCGGGTCAGAAGTGCGCATGCGCAAGAAGCGGTGCTCTTTGTGAATGGTAAGGCGGTACCTGGGACACATGACAGATCCCAGAAGCCACCGGACCAATCACAAAGCGCAGTGCTTCTCGCTCATGCACACTGGGCATCCGGCTGTCCGCCGAGCACCCACACTACAGAAGCCGGGTAGACAGCGCGTGGCTGGATAGAGGAACAGGTAAGATGAAAGAACAACTCCGCGGAAGTAAGAGCAGGTACCTGTCAAATTGAGGTACCCGCTCCCCCTCCCTCCCCAAAGGTCAGCAGTCATCTCCTGTACTGTCCGCAGTCTCTGGTCATCTCCTGTACTGTCCGCAGTCTCTGGTCATCCCCTGTACTGTCCGCAGTCTCTGGTCATCTCCTGTGCTGTGTCTGCAGTCTCTGGTCATCTCCTGTACTGTGTCCGCAGTCTCTGGTCATCCCTGTACTGTCCGCAGTCTCTGGTCATCTCCTGTACTGTCCGCAGTCTCTGGTCATCTCCTGTACTGTCCGCTGTCTCTGGTCATCTCCTGTACTGTCCGCAGTCTCTGGTCATCCCCTGTACTGTCCGCAGTCTCTGGTCATCTCCTGTACTGTCAGCAGTCTCTGGTCATCCCCTGTACTGTCCGCAGTCTCTGTTCATCTCCTGTACTGTCCGCAGTCTCTGTTCATCTCCTGTACTGTCAGCAGTCTCTGGTCATTCCTGTACTGTCCGCAGTCTCTGGTCATCTCCTGTACTGTCCGCAGTCTCTGGTCATCTCCTCTACTATGTCCGCAGTCTCTGGTCATCTCCTCTACTATGTCCGCAGTCTCTGGTCATCTCCTCTACTATGTCTGCAGTCCATTGGTTCAGAATTTTTTTTTTCCTGTTTGCTGCCTCTAAAACCTAGGCGCGTCTTATGGTCAGGTGCGTCTTATGGAGTGAAAAATACGGTACTTTCAATGGATTTCATTCATAAACCGAAAATTACATTAACCGAGGTGTTCGTAAACTGAGGTACACCTGTATTTGTAAAGCACTGCATAAATTTACGGTGCTATATAAAAACCTGTAATAAATAAAGAACTATAAAAAAAGTAACAGATAACCATATAATTGATTACCAACCATTTTATTTTTGCTACAAAAGTTATCATGAAAAAAGGCATGGAAAATAAAGTGGCATTTAAGTGGATTTCCACTAAAACATGATCCATTTAGAATTCAAGCACCTATTATGGTAATACATGGAACTCTCCTGCTGGGGAGTGTGAGAAAGCAATAAATTAAAGTGTATCTATACCCCAAACTTTTTAGAATGAGAAACCCTGGTCAGGTTTTACTGCTGCGTGAGGCTCTGTTGGAGAGATTTCTCCTCACTTTCTGTTCTGCAGACAACTTTTTACCATACAGGAAGTAAGAGAAAAACTAAAACAGACAATAATAAAAAGCTTACAGAGGTTCCAGCATTATTATACTTAACTTAAAAAAACACACATTTTGGTAATAGCTACACTTTAATGTACCGCTCCTCGCACGACCTCCTGCTCTCTAGCTCCCTTGTCTCCTCCTCCCATGCTCATCTCCAGGACTTCTCCAGAGCTTCCCCCATCCTCTGGAACTCTCTACCCCACCCAATTTATCAGACTATCGCCTACTCTGCTCACTTTTAGGCGATCTCTGGAAACCTCTCTCTTCAGGGAAGCCTATCCTGCTCTCAGCTAACAATGGAATCTTCTATTCCTCCTATCAGTCCATCCCCCACAGTTATTACCTCGTGTACCACTAGCCCCTCCCTCTTAGATTGTAAGCTCCAAGGAGCAGGGCCCTCCTAACCCGCTTGTATTGAACTGTATTGTTGCTGTATTGTCTCCTGTTATATTGTGAAGCGCTGAGCAAACTGTTGGCACTATATAAATCCTGTATAATAATAATGTATAAAAGTATAATGGAATTCTGCATTTCACAAAAATGTTAAGTACAGTGCAGGCATACAATATTAATACCCTATTGGTATTGTAATAAAAGAAATCAATACCTTTTTGACTTGCAGTGTATAGTTCCCTGCAGATGAAGCCTAGCAGAGGAGAGATGCTGCTTGATGACATGGACATCAGTAAAGCAGGATGCCCAGTCTTGGCTGCTAAATGATTAGATCACCTGTCTGTCAACCAGCACAGTTCACTGCAGCAGGCTGGATGAAGCACAGCTGCCTGTTGTTCACATAGGAGGGTGACAACACTTCTGCATCATTGGGAGCTGGTGGGATAGCGTTGTCACCGTAAGAAAAGAAGGACTTGGAAAAAGTGCAAAAACTGGCAGGATCAGCACCAGGGGCGGACTGACCATTTGGAAACTCAGGCACTGCCCGAGGGCCCGGGGTCAGTAGGGGGCCCCATGAGATGCCCTTGGTACCTTTTTCATAGGGTTTTTTGAGTTTGGGCAAGGACACAGGGACACTGGCCCCAATTTGAGATCCTGACACACACGCGCACAACTCTCAACTTGGGACCAGTGGTTGTGTCTGTGTATCTAAACAGATATGAATGGGCCTGCCTGCACACAAATGCAGGGGACACCGGAGTATCCCATGCAGGGGAACACATGGTCCCTTGCACTAGTGTATGCATACAAGATATGCCCATGTCAATGAGTCCTTTGGGTCTTCATACATTTTAAACAACTATACTGTGTGAGTGTATTTCTGCTAGATGAACGTTATCGGGTATGTGGGTACCACTTCGCAGTGTTCCTCCCTGACCAGCCGCAGCCTGCCTTATACTGACAGGCTGCAGGCAGCGGGACTGGAAACGTCATCCTGTGCCTCCCGAGTGCACTACAACACAGCTAGACACCCCCGTCAGCAAGCAGCCTAAACAGATTTAATGTCTCCCAGACGTCTTTCTACATTTCAATGGGGCTTATTCACACCATAATCTGTGTGTTTTTCATGCATTTTATTCACTTGTATGCATTCGACAGGCATTTTTTGTTTTTGGCATTAGGAAGGACAGGGCATTAAATGAGCCAAAGTTGTTTTTTGTTATAGGGTTGCATTTTTTGTTGTGCAAAAAAAAAAAAAAAACGCAGCTTGCTGTACTTTTTTTTCCACTGCAATGCAACACAAGTGTGAACAATCCTCATTAGCATACACTGATTTTGGACCATCTATGCTTTTGAAAACACCTCCTAGATTTGTAAGCTCTAATGAGCCGGGCCCTCGGTTTCCTCTTGTACCAAATTGTATTGTAACTATAATGCCTACCTTCATTTTGTAACGCGCTGCGCAAACTATTGGTGCTATATGTAAAATAAATATGCAGCGCTAATATTGATAAAATCTGGTGAAGACAAATAAAGCCTCTGAGGAAAGTGTTTTTACACGAAACGCGTCAGGAGGTGCCCCTGACTTGTGTACATATACCACAAGGCCATCCTGATTGGTGGCCTTATCAGATCCTGATGTAAGTTTTGATTTACTTGTTTTATGCTGGATTTTTGACCATTAAAGAACTACTACACTATTAGAAGCTTTCTTGGGCTCATTATTTCCATGTGAGCCTGTTTTTGAAGGTCCTGAGGATTTGGATTGATATATGACTTCCCCCTCCGCCTGCTGTTAATGGCCCTGGTGGAATGATTAAGAATGCACCTAGACTGAGAACATCTAGTGGCCGACTTGCGGATGACATCTGCCTGGTATTACAAGTCCAGAGCACCAGGAGCAGGTCTTAATTGCTCCATGCGCAATTAATGCTCTATCTGGTTAGTGCATTGTTTGTACATTCACAAGTACACAAGAGTCACCATTATCATTGACCATGGACTTTTGAATACCTGCACATTATCACTTTGCTTGATTACTGAGCTATCTAACATATGTGGTTTAACATATGACTTTGTTATTTATTTGTCTTCACCAGATTTTATCAATATTAGCGCTGCATATTTATTTTACATATTTCTTATATTGGGTTTAAAGATTGCCTTTATGCTAGCGTCTTTTTTATCATTACTATTATCATTTTTATTATCATTATTCCCAGCTCTCAATTACTACTTTTGCAATATTGATGCTATATAAATCCTGTATAATAATAATAATTCCATTGCAATTGGTATGAATGGTTCCTAAAGCAGGTTTAACTACATTTACATTTTTTTAGCCGCGGCATTTAGAGTGTCTAATCCTGGAAGCAGAGAATTCTATTTTCTCAGAGTGTAAAGGGCACCATTGGAAAATCATTACATGCATTTATATGTGTTTAGAAATGTCCTCTAAACGCATATATCACAGGCTTCACACTGCCAGTGTGAATCATTTCTTTTTTTCTTCTTCTAATAAGGCACTTTGCACACGGGGCTGTCCAGGTTCAGTGCACCAGGGAGGGACCATTGCAGCATCCAGCTCTGTTGCAGGCAGCTTGGATAGGGCGCAATGCTGTACTGAGTGGTACCCATGTTTAGGGCTCCATGTGCTCAGGGATGAATGCAGATCACTTGGATTGTGTGCAAACGCACCTGAATGCACAGGGCCTTAAATACGTGGGGTTGGATGTTGTACTTGTCACGCCCGGGACACACTGCACCTAAACAGCCCAGTGTGAGGGGCCTAAGTTCTGCATTCATATGGCACTGCATAGTCTGTACTCTCTTCGCAGAACATAAAACCACATCTGTCCCTACCACCAACGAAGCAATCCCTACATACACGCCAAGGACCATTTTACCGAACATGCTTTGAGAAAATCCCCTCTAGGCTAGGTTCACACCTATGCAGTTTGCGTTTGAGCCGTTTCAGCATTGCACTTTGCACCTGTGGGTTTGCCACATTTTTTATGCATTTTGCGATTTATTTTTTATTTTTCTTGTTGCTAGGCAGATTTAAAACACAAAACACATTAAAAAAAAAAAAAACGCAACACATTGAAGTCTATAGAACCAAAAACACAACTTTTGGCATTCAAAAAAGTCCCTGACCCTTTAAAAAACACACTGGGTGAAAACTTGCAGATGTGAACATGTCCCATAGGAAATCATCTTAAATGGACCGTACTGCGTTTCTGCAAAACGCTGCAAAACGTATAGGTGTGAACCTACGGTTAAGACTAATTTGTACAGAATGTTTATACAAGAAGTGTAGTTCTCATCATTTATAAAAAACATTTTTAACATATTTACAAAGGTAAAAGTAAAAATATTTTTAAAAAAAGTCAAATTCACAAACAGTATAAGTGCAAACAGCAGTGAAAAGATGTAAAACAGACCATAAAAGACTAAACTAAGCTGTAAAAAACAAAAACCAAGAAATCTAGTCACATATAGCACATTGTATAGTTTCACAGGTTGTATGCATTGACAGTGTCAGCTTCAAATCTCCTTCATATAGAACGGAATAAGAACAAATTCACTCATTCATGATTTTTAAAAATTCATTTTTACACTTTAAAGTGTCACTGTTTAATAGGCAGCTAATATAACAACCACCTATAAATAGGCACATTTAAGGCCCTATTTATAATGGAGTGCAGATATCAGTAACCACATTGCTGGGCCTACATTTTACGGATGTGCCAGCTGTGAGTTCTTTCGACTTAAAGTGGCTGTAAACCTCAGAAATGAATGACAAACAAAGCATATCCCTCTATAGTGGGTACTTGTCATAATCCAGAGCACTAAATGTTAATTCTGTCTGCTGGTTTGTTCTTCTGCTATTAGCATAAATCACTTTTGACAAGTTTTCCTGACACCAAGAAAAAAAGGTGACAGGGGAGGGACCTCTAGCAGATTGACAGCCTCAGTTCTGGTCCTGTGTGAGGGGGGGGGGGGGGGGGGGAGGTGTCCCGTCCCTCTAATTAGCTCTCAGAGCTCTCCTCACTGATGTAACTTCAGCCTTCAGAGCTGAAGAGCTGAGAGATCCTGTGTAAATTCTACACTTTTAATGGATGCAGGGGGGAAAGATGACTGTAGATAAACGGGTACAACTTAATCTAGGATTATGTGTTCCATCTCTTTGTGACACCTGAGGTCAGTCACTTCACTTGGTGTATATAAGGGTTTACAGAAAGGGTTTACCAAAACACTTTCTATGCAGAGGTGCCTGTAGATAAAAAATAAACTGTGCACCTTTGACTAAAATTGGATATGCCCTTGCTGTGGGTGTAGGGCATTTTTGTATCTCCTGAAACCTGGCAAACAAAATTTCCAGAAATAGCATCATCCTGTCCTGCCTTGTTGGTAAAAAAGTTACTAAGACATTCCCAGCCGTTACTGTTCACCCTCCACCCATCACAAGAGCAATCTCTCACATGTGCAGTGGGTTTACATTAGCTAGGAGTCTCTTAGCAACACCCTAGAAACAAGGTAGGACGGGGTGATGCCATTTAGTTGGACCACATGTCAGATGCCTATAGAAAAGCTGAAAAGTATGCTTTTCCTTTAACAGACAACAATCGTGAAATATGACTTTTTGATATCTGCTGTAAAATATATAGTACATTCACATTCAGGATTCATTATGAGCTTTTTTTTTTTTTTTCTTCTTGATGAATTGTACCCATATTAGTATTTTCCAACCAATTAGTCTGTGGTTTAGTAACACATAGATAACAGTATTAGAGGCTCAGTTGTCGCTTACACCAGCTTCTGATATCTGAAGCACCAACAGGTCGCCCAAGAGCGTACTTACAGAGAATATTAAGAAGAACAAGAAATATATACTTTATGAATCCTCGTTTTACCATAGCATGTAGAATCTGTTTATATGGCTCAGTACAGAAGCTTTTATCAACCAAGGTGGACATGGTCGGATTCACATTGTTCCATGTGCGTGGCAGTGTGCACATGCATAGGCGTGAATGGGCCCATATAGTATATATTTCTCTTTCCCACTAAGGTGCATTGCATAGAACCAGCCACATAGGAACGATATTGGATTGAAAAGCTTTACTACAAGAGAGTGGGTGAATAGGCACTGGACCATAGAAACAAGCTGTGTGTACCTTGGTGAAAAGAAATAAATACATGTGTATTGTATTTGCTTGTTTAAAAAACCCCACAAAGACTTGAATCCGTCCTCTAACCTAACCCTGGGCTATCACGGGCTGTAATATAATAGTAAGACCATAGGACATGCTTTGACTTTGGGTAGTTGTGGGTTTACATCAGCCTTTCTCAACCAGGGTGCCCAGGCACCCTGGGGTGCCTTGAGGTTTCTTCAGGGGTGCCTTAGCAAAATGTCTAAAAATTGCCCAAAACTTGTATACAAGCCAGCGGGTGGAACAAGCCTGCCTTTTAGTTACACAAAGGCACAGGTTTTCATTGTGCATCATTATGACCTTCAAGCCGCCGGTGTCCTGACAACCAATGACATCATCAGTTGATAAGGAGGATGTCAGCTGCCTGCACAGCATCCTAGTTTGACCCTCCCCTGCCCCCTCCATCAGTGCTGGGGACACATTAGCTCAGTGATGGGGAAAAACTGAGAGAGAAGAGAAACACTGGAATACTAGTCAGTACCAGTGTGCAAAAGTGTAATTGCTTTGGAAGAATAAATCACCTCTAATGTTGGGTGTCCTACATGTGTGGATGTTGCTGTTAGAATAGTTTTTCACATTTTAGAATGGGGTGTCCTTTTAAAATTATGGACAGTCTTGAGGCACCCCATTTTAGAATGGGGTGCCTCAAGACTGTTCATAATTTTAAAGGGTGCCTCGGGACTATATTAAAAATATATAGTAGTATATCCGCTTGCCAACCATATAACTTGCTTATACAGCAGCAGAGCAGATCTTCTGGGCTGGATCACGTACCTAATACATGATCAGCGCTTCTGGGGAGGATGTGCGCGTGTGCACCCACCAACCCAGCTGTGCTGTCATTTGTTACAGCAGAAGCCAATCAGTGGGCAATTGGCTCAGTGATTCACAAACAGACCTCTGTAATGGTAAACATCACAGAGCTCTGTATAGTGACAGGTGATCTTGTTGTTTTCTTTTCATTCCCTGCAAAGGGATAAAACCAAGATCAATTAGTAAAATCAGCACACAGTACACACATTAACACTTCCTAGGTACACAATTAACCCTTTGATTGTCCCAGATGTTAACCCTTTGTACAGTGTCAGTGCATTTTATTAGCAACGATCAATTTATTAGTGTCACTGGTAGCTAGTCAGTTCCTACTCACTAGTCAGTGCCCACTGCACTATCACAGTCCCACTATAAGTTGCTGATTGCTGCCATTACTAATTATATATATATAAGTGTGCAGTGCAGAGGTGCTGCTGCAACCACATATGCTGGGCTGCAGCAGCACCATACTGCAACAGGGGTCAGCAAGTGTCATTGGTGTCAGTGGGAGGAATAGTGCCGCATCATTGGTGTCACTGACACCAACGATGGGGCACTATTCCTCCCACTGACACCAATGATGGGGCACTATTCCTCCCACTGACACTAATGATGGGGCACTATTCCTCCCACTGACACAAATGATGGGGCACTGTTCCTCCCACTGACACCAATGATGGGGCACTATTCCTCCCACTGACACCAACGATGGGGCACTATTCCTCCCACTGACACCAATGATGGGGCACTATTCCTCCCACTGACACCAATGATGGGGCACTATTCCTCCCACTGATACCAATGATGGGGCACTATTCCTCCCACTGACACCAATGATGGGGCACTATTCCTCCCACTGATACCAATGATGGGGCACTATTCCTCCCACTGACACCAATGATGGGGCACTATTCCTCCCACTGATACTAATGATGGGGCTTATACTCGAGTCAATAGTTTTTCCCAGTTTTTTGTGGTAAAATTAGGTACCTCGGCTTATATTCGGGTCGGCTTATACTCGAGTATATACGGTAATAAAACAAACCCAGTGGTGATCAAATACCACCAAAAGAAAGCTCTATTTGTGTGAAAAAAGGACATAAAATTTCACTTGGGTACAGTGTTGCATGACCGCGCAACTGTCAGTTAAAGTAGCGCAGTGCTGCATAGCAAAAAAAAAATGGCCCGATTATGAAGGGGGTAAATCTTCCAGAAGGCAAGTTGATATCTTTGGTTTGTTTCAGGACAAACAGTCTCCTTTAGTGAAATTGTCTGACAAAAAAGACTTCTTTACAGTCTATAGACAAAAAGACATGACAAAACTATAAAGAAAAAATGATCAGTTTTAGTTTTAAAACAAATAGGGGTCTATGCATAAAACATTCGCTGTGTAATTATGGCAAACATGTACACACTCAAGAAGAAAATTGCTGTATTTTCTCTAGTTCATCTAGTTCCATGTCAGTTGCCATAATGTTTTTTTTTTGTTTTTTATCCTGAGGTATTTCTGGGGAAAAACCCACTACGGCCACTACATGGTACTGAACTCTAATATACATATTAGAGAAAATATGGCCAATTTTTATTCTCAAATCCGAACAAATGTTTTATACATGTTTTATAGACCCCATAGTGTCATTGTTGACAAAAACATTTTTTTATTCTGTAATCTGTCCTGTTTTAATAATGCTAAAATTATGGATTCTGGTACAAAGTTATTTTCTAACAAAATATATATTTTTTTTATTTTGTATTTTTTTTTTAATTGGATAGTAAATTAAATTACTGAACAAAATAAATTTTAAAACAGTTTAATTATTAATGGTTAAAAAATAGAACCGAAAAAATAATCAAAATCGACAGAACAAGGACAGCTAATTAAAATAAACAAAATTATTTTACTGGTAGGGTTGCTCTAACAGACATCATATGCAGAGTAAAGGTCACTCCTATAAATTTGTTGATAAAAAAAGTAAATACCATGCAACAAAAACGTTGTTTAGTGGTATATAATAAGGCCTCTGAACAATGTTCCCTACACTGCCCCGACTGTTCATTTTAAACAGCAGTAGTTGCAGCTATAGGATATGGCACAAGTACTTGCTGTCACTTTGACAGCCAGGATTGCCAGTAAGAACAACAGGGGAAAAGGAACACAGTGGGCCACAAAAAAAAGATGCCATGGGTGGACAAAAAAAAAAAACCAAGGCATAATTTATAGTTATTATTCCTTTGAAAAGTGGAGTGGACACCACATTACAGACTGACAAAACCACAGACTTATTAACTGAAACATAAATGTACAAATTGTGCAAAAAAATTAGTACATTGAGCTTGGACATCATTCTGCAGAAATTAAAAAAGGTCTATTTCACAATTGTCGTTCTTGAAAGATTGCCATATTTTAAGTCTGAACAAATTTGAGAAGCCAGAGAGTCAAGACACCTAAACTATTCCCTGGTGCCGTCTTAAAGTGCTCTTACATTAGACTAACCTGTTATTTTATTTTAGTGTATTTGTCCACCCTGGCAGACCAACCTCTCCACATTCGCACCAACAAGTTACAGAAAACTAGAGATTTCTTCTTAAGACAATTTAAAAAAAAATTCACGTTTAGGCAGAGATTAATACATGTTTTTTTGTCAGTGTTTATAATTTCTTCCCAACTTCAGTGAGAATCCAGTCGATGCCTTCCAACAGTCCAGACAAAGTAGAAGCTTCTGTATTCTGCACCTGTATATTAAAATAATTAGTAGGGTATTTGTGTTCAAAGTATAGACTTTTAACATGAGTAAAGGAGTTTAAAACAGATGATTCCTGATCACTGTAGCTGTAGGTACTGTGACGCAATTCATCCTCAAAATCACAAGAAAGAGACTATAAAGTTGCGTTTCACTTAGTTTCTAATAGCCTAACCACCCTACTACTACCATATTGGAAAAAAACATTGGTAGGTTTGATGCTTACATCTGGAGCACTCTTTATAACTGGTGCACTGTTTATAGTTTGTGCATGTACCAGGTGCTACCCACAATTCCTATGATCTCACTGTTACTAGACAGCAGGGGCAGACTGACCATTTGGAAACTCGGGCAATGCCCAAGGGCCGGGGGTCAGTAGGGGGCCCCATGAGATGCCCCTGGTACCTTTTTCATAGGCTTTTTGTGAGTTTGGGCAAGGATATGGGTGCCCCATGAGTTGTCAGTCCGCCCCTGCTAGACAGAGTCGATTACAGGCAAATAAAAAGCCAATCAGAGTTGCTCTGTACCTTGTGATTGCTGTGAACCAACAACAGCAATCACAAGTATAAACAATGCCTACGTTTTCAAACATTTAACCAATTCACAATGGAGGAGGGAAAGGAAGGAGGACTGCAGGGAGAAAGGGATTGGCAACAGTACATTGAAGGTTATAAAGTGTCATGAACTATCAATAATTGTCAGATTATTTTTTTGAAGGCAGGGGGTTAATGTGGCACTGATCACAAACGATTGTGGGACCATTTTTTGAAAGGGGTGAATACAGGGGCTAGTACTCAGGCTGCCAAGATTCTGTTGCAATGGAAAATAGGAAAAGAAGTTTTCTGAGCCTAAGTTGTGAAATGTGAAGATAAATTTATCCACAATGCCCATATATACAGAGGTGAACGAGAGCTTGTTTTACGTGTGTTTACTGCCTGTTCAGAGTATGTATATACTTTAGAGTGCATGGTCTGGGCACAGGTTAACTTTGAACTGGAAACAATGAGTAGACATATAAATGTATGATACTGAAAACTAAGTCAGGGCATGGGTACATGGGCATATGTAGGTAAATTGGAAAATTTGATTCCAATTCTTTTGGGTTCCCATAGGAAATAACTATTTTAAATCTTAACTTCATCCTTCCCTTTAGTCTTGCACAAGCATACAGGCTCCTCTCCTGCACTGAAACTCCTTAATCTGATTTCACTGCACACTGTGAACTTCTCACATTTTCATACTTGCCCAACTTTTCCCTAAAGCCAGCCTACTGCTTACATCAGGGCAGATGGTTCTTGAGAGAAGTACTGACGCAGGGTGCTGTGATGGCTTCAGGAAACTTTGTATAGCACCCCACCAGCCCTCACACCAGCTATGATCTATCTGTCTGTATAGTATAAAGAAGCAATAAGACCCAATGATGACATCACTGGGTCTATAATAAGGTATGGAAATAAAATGGTCTTATTTATAAACTGTATTAGCATGTTGAAAAGGGGTGGGGTGGGAAATGAAGAAAAGGAAAATATAAGTGGCTGGAACTTTAGCTTTAATTTACTCAAGTGCTGCCAATGCAACTACAATCTGTCTTTTATGGGGAGGTTGAAACAAAAGCAACCACCACATCTAAGGACCGGTAAGCAGAAATAAATGACACGGCTTTCCTTAGAGTAAGTTATACCTAACTACTACGCTAATAAAAAGTTGTTCATAGAGCTGAACATCTTGCCATTGGTATGCCCTAAGCTTATTGGAAATAAAGATTTTACAGAACTAAGAAACCATGATATAACACATCAGTTTAAAAGCTTGTAAACAAAAATTAACTCACTCCAAAAAGAGAATGGCCCATTTACACCTATCAGCATTGGTGTGTGGTTAACGCACGTTAGGTCTCATGTAAGGGCAGACTATTAGCTTTGAAAGGGCTGTCAACCCACCAGAAGCAGATAGGAAAATGTTCCTGCAGTATTTTTACAACATGCAGCTACCACAATGCATGGTAGCATGTTAATGTGCTCTGCAGTGCCAGCGCCTGGCTTTCGGCATGTTGATAAACCACTTAAAAAGCATGTTATCCCCAATAACATATAAATTATGAAATTAGATTTATGAAAAAACACAAATTTAAAAAAAATGGAAATATTACCATCCACGGCCGATTCAGATTGCTCAAACACAAGTCATGGGCCAGGTAGACACAGGGAATCCTCTTGTCCCCGGGGTTGGTGACACAAGCCAGAACCAACAAAGGTCTCCTCAGAGGTCCCAGATTTGGATCCATCATTGTCATGATCTGAGCTACTTCCTCATCACGATTGTGTCCTACACAGGAACATCACAGGAGTAACAGTGTCACACATGGCTTCATTTACTTACTCTTATTTCACAATATGGTGTCAACATGACTGTTACACAGTCCATACATGTCACAGGACAATGTACACTACAGTTATACAGGCACGTATTTTAGAACTAGCTGGGCCAAAAGTATGCATGACTGAAACTGCCTGGTTTCAATTTGCCAGTATTTCTTCGAAAAGAAATAGTTAAATGTGTTGGAGGCAATGATTTAAGGTTGTTTAAGGCATTTAAACCTGTTTCCACTAGTGTAGCATATACAGTTGTGTTCAAAATAATAGCAGTCAGACATCACTAACCTGATCAATCACTGTTTTTGGTAGAAATATTTCTACATGGCAAATAATTTACTAGCAGGTGTAGTAGAGTAATAGAAATCCAACAGGCCTAACAGTCATGACATGCATGCTGCTGATTCTGTGTAATTGAATCACTAATTGAAAGGGGCATGTTCAAAATAATAGCAGTGTGGAGTTCTATTAGTGAGGTCATTCATTCTTTGAAAAACAGATGGCAATTATTGCCCTTATTTAAGGAAGGAAGGCAGCAAATGTTGTACATGCTGGTTACAGTGCATTTTCTCTCTGAAATTCGGAGGAAAATGGGTCGTTCTAGACATTGTTCAGAAGAACAGCATACCTTGATTAAAAAGTTGATTGGAGAGGGGAAAACATATAAAGAAGTGCAGAAAATAATAGGCTGCTCAGCTAAAATGATCGCAAATGCTTTAAAATGGCAACCAAAACCTGAAAGACGTGGAAGAAAGCGAAAAATTACTATTCGAATGAATAGAAGAATAGCCAAAATGGCAAGGACTCAGCCAACAATCAGCTCCAGGAAGATCAAAGAAGGTGTAAAGTTACCTGTGAGTACTGTTACAATTAGAAGACGCCTATGTGAAGCCAAGCTATCTGCAAGAAGCCCCTGCAAAGTCCCACTGTGGAAAAAAAGACATGTGCTGAAGGGGTTACAATTTGCCAAAGAGCACATTGACTGGCCTAAAGATAAATGGCGCAACATTTTGTGGACTGATGAAAGTAAGATTGTTCTTTTTGGGTCTAGTGGCCGGAGACAGTTTGTCAGACGACCCCCAAACACTGAATTCAAGCCACAGTACACTGTGAAGACAGTGAAGCATGGTTGTGCAAGCATCATGATATGGGGATGTTTCTCATACTACGGTGATGGGCCTATTTATCGCATACCAGGGATAATGGATCAGTTTGAACACATCAGAATACTTGAAGAGGTCATGTTGACTTATGCTGAAGAGGAAATGCCCTTGAAATGGGTGTTCCAACAAGACAACGACCCCAAACACACCAGTAAAGGTGCAACATCTTGGTTCCAGACCAACAAGATTGACGTTATGGAGTGGCCAGCCCACTCCCCGGATCTTAATCCAATAGAAAACTTGTGGGGTGACATCAAAAATACAGTTTCTGAGGCAAAACCAAGAAATAGAGAACTGTGGAGTGTAGTCCAATCATCCTGGGCTGGAATACCTGTTCACAGGTGCCAGAAGTTGGTTGACTCCATGCAACACAGATGTACAGCAGTTCTCAGAAACAGTGCTTATACAACTAAATATTCATTAACTGATTCAAAGGAAAGCAAAATCTTCAAACATTTTTCAGTTTATATAGTGAATGTTTGAGTTTATAAAGAAGAATACAAACACTGCTATTTTTTTTGAACAGTCTAATATTCACTTTTCTTCCATTTTTTTTTTAGAGGAACAACAGAAATTTGATATATTTTTCTTCATGTTTTGATTTGGAATAGAATGTGTAGTGTTCCCAATGCATCTGTGTGTATGGAAATAAAAGCTATTAAAAGGATTTTGAGCTTTATTCATTTTTTTCAACACACTGCTGTATATATACAGTGGGGATCGAACGTTTGGGCACCCCAGCTAAAAATTTGTATTAATGTGCATAAAGAAGCCAAGGAAAGATGGAAAAATCTCCAAAAGGCATCAAATTACAGATTAGACATTCTTATAATATGTCAACAAAAGTTAGATTTTATTTCCATCATTTACACTTTCAAAATAACAGAAAACAAAAAAAATGGCATCTGCAAAAGTTTGGGCACCCTGCAGAATTTATAGCATGCACTGCCCCCTTTGCCAAGCTGAGACCTGCCAGTGTCATGGATTGTTCTCAATCATCGTCCGGGAAGACCAGATGATGTCAATCTCAAAGGTTTTAAATGCCCAGACTCATCTGACCTTGCCCCAACAATCAGCACCATGGGTTCTTCTAAGCAGTTGTCTAGAAAACTGAAACTAAAAATAGTTGACGCTCGCAAAGCTGGAGAAGGCTATAAGAAGATAGCAAAGCGTTTTCAGATGTCAATATCCTCTGTTCGGAATGTAATTAAGAAATGGCAGTCATCAGGAACAGTGGAAGTTAAAGCAACATCTGGAAGACCAAGAAAAATATCAGACAGAACAGCTCGCAGGATTGTGAGAAAAAGAATTCAAAACCCATGTTTGACTGCACGATCCCTCCAGAAAGATCTGGCAGACACTGGTGTTGTGGTACACTATTCCACTATAAAGAGATACTTGTACAAATATGGTCTTCATGGAAGAGTCATCAGAAGAAAACCTCTTCTATGTCCTCACCACAAAAATCTTCGTTTGAACTTTGCAACTGAACATATAGACAAGCCTGATGCATTTTGGAAACAAGTTCTGTGGACCGATGAGGTTAAAAATTGAACTTTTTGGCCGGAATGAGCAAAGGTACGTTTGGAGAAGAAGGGGCACAGAATTTAATGAAAAGAACCTCTGTCCAACTGTTAAGCATGGGGTTGGATCAATCATGCTTTGGGGTTGTGTTGCAGCCAGTGGCACAGGGAACATCTCACGAGTAGAAAGAAAAATGGATTCAATAAATTTTCAGCAAATTTTGGATGGTAACTTGATGCCATCTGTGAAAAATCTGAAGTTAAAGAGAGGATGGCTTCTACAAATGGATAATGATCCTAAACACACCTCGAAATCCACGGGGGATTACATCAAGAGGCGTAAACTGAAGGTTTTGCCATGGCCTTCACAATCTCCTGACCTCAACATAATTGAAAATCTATGGATAGACCTTAAAAGAGCAGTGCGTGACAGACAGCCCAGAAATCTCAAAGAACTGGAAGACTTTTGTAAGGAAGAATGGGCAAAGATACCTCAAACAAGAATTGAAAGACTCTTGGCTGGCTACAAAAAGCGTTTACAAGCTGTGATACTTGCCAAAGGGGGCAGTACAAGATATTAACTCTGCAGGGTGCCCAAACGTTTGCAGACACCATTTTTTTGTTTTCTGTTATTTTTGAAAGTGTAAATGATGGAAATAAAATCTAACTTCTGTTGACATATTATAAGAATGTCTAATCTGTAATTTGATGCCTTTTGGAGATTTTTCCATCTTTCCTTTGCTTCTTTATGCACATTAATACAAATTTTTAGCTGGGGTGCCCAAACTTTCAATCCCCACTGTATATGTGTGTGTATATATATATATATACATATATATATATATATACACACACACACATACACATACATACATACACACATACTTATTTCTTTTTCTGTAACACTTTAGCTCCATTTTAAGTTGGACCTTGAGATAAAATGCAAGGTTGCTGATAATGTTGTGGCCTCCACTCCTGTAAAAAATCTCAGAATAATAGTTCATCCTAAAGGTATCTGTAATGAAAGAAAAGCTAGATTTTACATAACTTACCCACTGTCTTCTGTATCATGGCACCTAAATGAGGGTGATGTGACACTCTTTCCAGCAAGATCTCGAGGAATGCAGAGCAGCCCAGATCTTGAGAAGATACACTAGCAATAGACTGGAGTGCCTTCTCGCAATATCAGAAGGATGTCATGTTCAGAGATATGGCAGATGGGGATAAGATAATACAGTAATCTAACAGTTTACTCGAAGCCAACCATAGATGGGTCGAATCTCCAGCAGTTCAGCAGGGGCCAGCCAAGATCTGATCCATCCCGGGCAGGTTGGTTGTGCAACTAGCCTGTTGGATTTTTTTAAATGCGTTTACTTGTGGTGACTATAGCTGCTAGCACTATTCATTGTGTTCTGCCGCCTGGGAAGGCTCCCTACCGGCAGAACACAATAATGCTGTAGGAGGTAGGTGGATGGAAAGAAAAATCACATAATCTATGGGCTGCTTTACAGGCAGCTGTGGGACATACTATCAGAGAGTGATAGGATCAACAATACAGATCACAAAAATCAGAATAAATTTAGCAATACCTATTTTTATACATTAACTCAATGTCAAATGGGCCAGCATTACAGCAAAGCAACTAGCACTTTCAGAAGGCAAGGTCAGCAATAGCAGGTTGTCTACATACAATCTCTAACTGTGGTGCCTATTTTTATTACTGTAATTCTTTTATATGAAGTCAGCATATTCTGCTACATTATAAAAAAGGGAAATAAAAATAAAATGCAATGCAAACAAAACCTACAGCAACACACAAAACAATTGCATGCACAACAATGTTGAGAAGTACAAAAGTGCTTTTACTGACATCCAAATACATATTACTTTAGTATTGGTTAGAAGTAAAATCTTTCATTATACACTATGAATTTGTCTTGTCCCAGATCTGTCACCATGTTAGCACTGAACATGTGGTGGTCTGTGTACCCCATAAATCTGTGACTTGAAGACGGACATCCACAAATGGTCACCATCAAATTTAGCTGAGCAGTTCTGCAAAGAAGAGTGGGCAAATATTGCAAAGTCTAGATGTGCAAAGTTAGTACAGACATATTCCAACTGACTAAAGGCTGGAATGAAAGCAAAAGGTGGTTCAACAAAACACTGATCGACGCTTCCTAATTTGCAACGGGTTCTTGAGCGCTTTTCCTTGATCTCGGGTCTACGTATTAATTTGGATAAAACCGTTGCTCTCAATATTACTT